CATGACACTGACCCTGAACCAGTCACACCAGTTTCACTGTAATACAGTGTAATTAGATCGGCACCTACCCGACTGCAACTGTTCTGGCTCGTCTACTAACTTTGATTGCTGCTGACCTATGTGGCTTTTTAAGGTAACAATGGAATTTGCTGCTCTTCCGCTCAAGTTCTGGCCATGCACAAGCAACTGCGACAAGCTGGCAGCCTGTTGGACAGATGTCCATCATGCTATGATAACTTCCAGAAATTATGGTGTGAATTCACGTGTTCTCCTCGACAACACATGTTCATGGAGGTATGACTACTTTTTTGATATCTTACCGCACGGATGTCCATTCAATTTGTTTACAAATTAATAGTTTCAGCAATTTTTCTTTCACTCAGTTCTTTATTAATGCCCAATCGCTTAAGCCAATTCTGATTAGTAATGACAGCGCCTCATGTTACTATTTCTCCTTATCAGTTGACGATTAACAGCTCGTTGTCTGAGTAATACCACCCTAGAACAGCTGCTTGCTTTCGGCCCATGATGAAGCAGTGATAACAGTTGAACACTTTACTGATCTTCGATCTTTGAGCGCTTACAGCGGGAAATCACGGCTCTTACTGAGCGCATGGGTAGACTTTTGGAAAACATCCGGAATTGACCTTTGTTAGGGATAGTTGAAGACACCATGCTTTTTGCAGGACGTTTTCGAACGTTTTTTATCATCTTTATTTTTAATTTTTTTTTGTTTACAGATTCTGCAAGAACTCGAGGTGCCAGAAACGAACATCTCTTACATCAATAGAGTACGCTACAATGTCAGCAAAGAATTCTCAGATGCTTTATATAACTCTTGCAAAGATGTAAGTTTTCTTACACGACTTGGATTTCGCTTTCTTTGTTTTGAAAGTTTCGCCTACAATGCGCGCCTCTTTATTGGCGTGAGTGAACGCAGTGGTAATGTATGATCACATCAAAGTTGTTCGCATTCTTTTCAAGGGGATTCAGAAGCCTTATAACATATTTGTTAAGGTATCCATGACGGGAAGCTCCACCAAAGCAATCCGATTAATGTGTGGTAGTTTGAAGAAGAATGAGGAATGTACGATCGATAATTGGCTTAAATTTATGGGTACTCAGAATCACCGCATTGGCATTCCTCTTGGCATCGAATTTAACCTTGTTGATGCAAAGGTCTGAAATCGTCATTTGTTACTGGCTTCTAATGACAACATTTTCTAAAAGTCAGCTTTTTTGCCATTTTCAAGCTTGGAGTGATTCAGGCTCTTTTGTGGCTTTATGAATCACATAACAGAGGAGAAAATTGGCGCTCGGTATTGATGTTTTTGTTAATAATCAAAGAAGGAAGACTGACGATAGCAGTGTCTATGCTTGTTGTACTTTTTGCTGATTTATTGAAATTGCCAAACGTATTCTGTAAATCTGTTTGCAGGAACAAAGTAGTGTTTAAGTGTTTCTTCGACAGTTTCATTTAACATACAAAATGTTGGATAATTTTCAGTTCTAGTTTAGTAGAAACTCGGTATTCCCTCATACACACTGTTATATGATTTCAGTATGCACAGGAAAAGTCAAAATCTTCTAAAAATGAACCATATCAAATGTTTGGTGGATTATTTATGTAATTTTAGCATGGACAGAATGAAGGTTCGGATTATTTCATGACCGTTCCAACAACCCCGTGCCATATGTCTCCACGTTATGGTCGTGACAAATGTTCAAGGCAAGATTGTCCTGCCATACAAGTAGAGGATTTGTTTCCCAGGGACGAGGGCACCAAGGTTTTTGTTTACTTTTTTAAACAAATTCTTTATTTTACTTTAAAACAATTGTAGTATTTTTTAAAATCTTATTTCCCTTTTCTGTACTGTTTTTGAAGAGGATAATTAAGTAACTTTTGTTGGATGTTGCTAATCGGATTGGTTCAAATTATCATTAAAATCTCATTGGGTTGTGCTGCCCTTCTCTTTGAATGAAAGTCCACAGAAGCAGCATTTCTTGAACCAGCAGCATTGTTTGAAATATCTTGATCGCTGCCAACGCCAGGGAAATTCCTCTAATTCGAGAACCCCAGTCGCAGGCTGTGGTTTGTGATCCGTGACATGAGTGCGCTGTGACGCAGCT